AAAAAAAAAAAAAAAAAAAAATATTTAAAAAAAAAAGAAAGAAAAAAAGAAAACTCAATAACAAGAGGAACAAGCAAGATGTGATTTGTCTTCTCCAATGAAAAAGAAACATGACACCCCCGCACACACACACACAACCACCCCTCCCCAGACACCAATCACTGTCTAAACGTCATGTACTTTCATTCGTGTCCATGTTTTTTTTTTTGTTTTCGTATATCTTGAAGGTGTATGTTCGTACTTCCAACAAAACAAAACATAACAAAACATAAAAAGAAAAAAAAAAAAAAAAAAACACATATATATCCACACGTACACATACAACTTCATTTTGTGTGCAATTGGAGAAAGACAGGAAGAAGAAGAAGAAGAAGAAAAACAAAAAACAAAAACAAAAACAATCGTCTCAACTCATTCCCACTTATGTCGCCTTCTCTTTACCTCACTTAAGGTCTACAATCATGATGGTCATGTTGTCTGTACCTTCTGCACGGGAGATGCGACCAGTGTCCTCTGAAGCCGGCGCTAAACAGTCTCGGCAAATTTCTTCACATATCTGTGTATTGTTTTTGCCCTCTGACTTCTTAATAGCCACAAGCTCCACCACCTCTTCGTTAGTAAGAACATCAAAAATACCATCGCATGCCAACACCACGAAGGAGTCTCCAGCCTCACGTGCTGTTTGAATCACATCTGGCACCGCAATGACCAGCTGATGACGAGCATCCAAATCTTTTTGTTGTTTATATGAGAAATCACCCATAGCCCGACTCATCGCCAACTGTCCATTCACGCGGTTTTCAGACACCGTGCCCCCTGCGGCTTCAATGCGAGCCTTCTCTTCTGTGTTCTCAGGCTTGTGATCACACGCGAGGGGAAAGGCTTCTCCATTGCGGCACAACACTGCACGAGAATCACCCACAGAGGCGCAGGTGATGAATTCTGGTGTAATGTGTACAGTGACTGCCGTGCATCCAGAGTCGTCGGTGAGCTGCGATTCTAGTAATTTATCTATTTCCATGTACATACGGTCAAAGTCCACGGAGGTGGTTCCATCTGCCTTCTGCGTGAGATGGGATCTTGCCATTTTAGGAAATAATTCCCGGCACTTCGTCGCGCACGACTTCCCGGAATGACCGTCAAACACACAGAAGAGACCTTCTTTGCTGTTCTTCTCACCATTAGGGAAAGTTACGTCAATCATGTGTTCATCCTCCATGTTGAGACGCCATCCCTGCATCTCCCCAACCGCCACATCAAAGTTTGGATTTTCACATGCGGTTTCACTATGAAACTCCGTATTAGGGGCATCCAGGAAAGGTCGCTGTGCGGAAAGTAATTGCTGTAAAAGTTGTTGGAATTGCTGTGTTTTTTGTTTGCGGCGAAGTTGCATTTCAAATTCTTCTTCTGCCTCGTTAGACTTCTCCAAAACAATCTTGTGTCGTTTTTCCCGCTCCTCACGCATCTTCTTCTCACGCTCAATCTGCTTAGCCCTTTCTAACCCTGCAGCCTCAGTAACTCTGTTCAGATCTGCTAACACCTTCTCAAACTCTTCATTTTCCGCTTGCTTCTTGTTTTTCACGGGATTAGCTTTATGGTTTTTGTTAGGGCTATTGGTAGCGTTATTATTATTATTATTGTGAGCATTTTTGCTCTTGTTCTTTTTATTGGAGGGCATAGATTGCACAAGTGAAGAAAAATAATAATAACAATAATAAAAACTATGTCTTCTTTATGTATATTGAGTATATATATATATATATAAATATAAATATATATTCTCACCACCCTTCAAATATATTTTTCTTTTCTTTTTCTGTGCTTTTTTTTTTTCTTTTACCCTTTTAACGTCTTTTTCTTTCTTTTTTGATCTCTTTCTCGTTTTTCTTTTCTTTTTTTCCTTGTTCCTTTCTTCTCGTAGTCCCACACACTAAGAAAAGACGAATACACGCGGTAAGACAAAGAAATAGCGGAAAGAAAAAAAAAAAAAAGAAGAGAACGGGTGAAGGCTTTTTCTACTACGACTTTGGCACCACCCCTTTTGTGACCACTCACTCTAGCACAAAAAAGAAAAAAAAAAGAAAAAAAAATGTATAAAGAAGAACCAAGAAGGAACAAATTCATATCTGGAGTAATAAATAATAATAACAGTAATAATAATAATAAAAAAAAAACATGGATAGAAGAGAGTTGTAATATCAACCAACCAAACATATTCACACGCCAACACATGAACACATAAATGAGGGAGGGGAAACATTTTTTTTTTCTCTTTTTTTATTCCTTGTTTGACCGCAAGGGATAATTTGAGTGACGGAGTTAAATAAAAGGATCAAAAAAGAATGAGCAGTGTCGTCACGCATTGTTTCCCCTTTACACGGTAGATACAGCGAAGCAACTGCTGAAGGGAAGAGTTAAAGCGGTTTGGAGAAAAAAGAACAAGAACAAGAAAAAAAAAAGACGAGATGAAACCTACATAGAAGTAGCAATAATAGTAGCAACAACAAAAAATAATAATAATAATAATAATAATAATAATAATAATAATAATAATAATAATAATAATGGCGAACAAATTTGAGAGGGGGATGAAGTTTGCATATCATATCAAGCATGCAGGTGTGCAAGAGACTCAGAATCACATTTACAATCAGCAAATAAAACACCAAAAACGATACATACATGCATACATACGCAAAAAGGAGGAGGAGAAGAACTCAAATAAAAATAAACAAAAAAAAAAGAACAAAAGTGGAGCGCAATAAAATTATATTTGTACCCTCACCCAAGGAATATCAAAAAAAAAAAACGTTTTTTTTTTCCTTTTTTCACACCTCCAAAGTTATTCATTTCACCACCTTATTTTTTTTTCTTTCCTATTCATCCCAATAACCCCGGTATATAAATATATATAAATAT